TCTTTGATTAACATGCAGCAGGAATATTGGACTGCGGACCCTTTAAGAGTTTATCCACGGACCCAATATACTGTTACACAACATGCATTCTCTTTCTCAACTATTTAACTTTCCAAAACTGACTGTGTTTAACTGGATACTGGCCAAGATGGGCATTTTGACAATTTTGTATGTATTTGAACGTTTTAGTGCAGTTAGCCACTCATTTTGGTATTTGTGGCTCACAAGCTGTTTGAGACTGAGTGCGGATTGTGCGCTCCACTAATATAGATCAGTGGTATAAGCGTGAAATCTGCGGGAATGACTATAATGCGCAATACAAGCACTATTTAACAGGAGACGTGTGTGAGAGAAAAGGGGTCGTCGGAGAGATGAAAGTGAGAATGCGCGGCTGATATTATTGCCTGTGCCGCTGGTAACAAAACGGATCGGTTCGAAATCGGAAAAAAGTGAGACTGACCGACCGATCACCGATCCGGGCCGATGATGAGGAAAATCGGCCGATTCCGATCCCTGGCCGATCGATCGGTGCATCTCTACTCTCTAGTTTTTCATAATGAAGCACACTGAAACTGAAGATTGAAGAAAGGTGTTTCTGTGTGCAAAAAAAATATTACCTTGTGTACCCTCCTGCAGAGAATCACTGTTTTCCTTTGCCTAGCTTTAGGAGTGCAGCACATCCCTGGCTAGCCATAGCTCATTTGTTCACAATACATTTCCCACAATACATCCAGAATACGCTACATCTACTCTGCAACAAGCTTGCCATGTATATATGTGCAATGCCAATGACATGTCAACAGCTTTCTGCACTGGCAGTGAGTAAGTCAGCTGTTGACCCCCATTTAACTTGATTCAGGAATGTAGATGTTTTACAGATTGAAGTTTAAAATATGCTGAAATAAGGAATTCAGATCTCTCTACATGCACATGTGGCCATAACATTACAAAGCTTATGCTGTGGACAAGATTGGCTCTATGTACTGTGTTTTGGGGGAGTTTAGGAGCTGACTGGCAACCATGGGTGCTCCTGATAAAGGTGTTGATGGTAAAGGGTGAGGCTTGAGCAGATGACAGATGAAAGTGGTTGAGAACCCACTTAACAGCCACTTGAAAAAAGCTGAAGTGTACTTCAAGAATGCATTGCTGTATTTGCTTAAAGGAATCGTTCACCTTTAAAAATTAAACCATAGCCATCATTTACTGACTCTCTTGCTGTTACAACCCTGTATGATTTTCTTTTCATCCGTGGCACAAAAAAGATGATGTTAGGCAGGAATAACATGAGGGGGAGTAAATTATGACAATGTTCAGTTTTGGTTGAACTTCCCATAAGATGTATTTTTGGTTCACTGTTCAGACAATAACTGACTGGTTTGCTTCTTTCTATCTATGGAAACTTAACCCTGTAAAGCCTGACATATGAAATACTAGTCAGAGTCAGAATAACGTATTCCTTTTTTTTAATGGAACAGTTTATTGAAACTCTTAGACAAAATATAGCCTAAAAAATATCTAAATTGCATATTTGTTTTATGGTTTGTATCATACTTGATACATCAGGCTTTTATGACCAATATATAGAATGATATAATGAGATCATACGTGAGAACAAAAAACACTGTAACGGAGTAACAATAAGAAAACTTAAGAGGAAATTGTAACGTAAACCTCTGACATTTTATAACAGTATAGCAAACTACTTACATTAAATGCATATTAATATCAGTTGTCACACTCTAAATCCCAATCATTTGTCTTAGTAACATTTAAAACAAAGCTCATTAGTTTTAATTGTTGCAAGTTGCAAGATTGTACACAACAGTATTTTTTCAACAAAGTAGTTGATCATTATGATAAAAAGGCCTTAGAAATTTGTGTATCAAATATGATACAGTAGCCTTAATAGTGCTAAAATAACCTGACAGATTATAGATGAATTGTCGGTAAGTAGACGACTGAGCCATGTGCACATTACATCCTTAAAATGGAATGACAGAGCAGTCTGACCCCTTTCACAAACACACTCTAGCAGAATGAAATCATGCACTGCTCATGGTAATGTTATTTTCAATTTCATTTCAACACAATGACACAGACTGCTCTTTATGACAACACACTATGACCCATGTGTTCTGCATCTCTCTCTTGCTCTCACAGCCCTTTTGCACATTTCCTTTGACAGCTCAAAATAAATAAATTGAAGTGCCGAAATAGTCACACTTTTTACACCAGTGATTCTTTTTTTCTTTTGTCCCAATGGAACATGGTATTAAACTGCCCATTATAAACATTTCAGCAATAGTTAAACAAAGCAATTATTTAAGAAGTTGTCATTTTATTGCCTGTATGACAACTAGACCTGATCTAGTATGGACTAAAAATTGGCCATGTTGCCAAAACCTAAATAAAATCTTAAGCTTATATCAAAACATTTTTTTGCCTTACCAAGACACACAAAGACTGCACTATCTAACCTCTGAATAGCTACCTATCAGCAAACTATAGTGTAAGTGTTAAACACACAGATTGTGCATAAAGATAAAAATAACACACACAAGTTGATGCCTGTTGCATTAACATAGCTGCAGCATGAATATGAGTTGGTTTACTTTGACAGAGAGAACATGATCTCTAATTTACATCAGCAGGCACATACTGCTTGTGTTTAAAGGCAACAGACATAAGTTCATAAAGACTGAACAAGAAAATAAACAGTTCTTCATTCTATATTAGATTGTTCATCAAAAATGAAAATTGTCATCATGTACTCAAGCTTATGTTGTTCCAAATCTGCATGACTTTCTTCAAATGCCAGTCGCCCAGTCCCCACTCACTTTCATTTGTTGGGGGGAAAACAGATGCAATTAAAGTGAATGGTGACTGAGACTGTCTGTCTAACATCCCATGGTTTGTAACAGGTTGTGAGGGTGAGTAACCTATTAGATGACTTTTATTTTGGGGTAAAATGTCTCTTTAAACGAACTTTACGGATGTAAATATCCCTCAAAAGCCTCGCAACCCAAACCTGTCTGAATTCAGACACGTCTTCGTTTGCGTAAAGATCAGGAAAATCAAACATCTGCCTCGGCTACACACAATGGAAATGTTGGACACTTTGATGCTGTGACAAGACAGCAGTCGGTACAAGTCTCCAAAAACTGGGGAAAGCCAGAGGACTAGAGCGAATCTTACCGAGATACTGCCTGATCTCCAGCAGAACTTTAGGGGGTCCTCCGTTCAGCTGGTAAAACAGTGAGCCGAGACAGAAGAGCAGCAGTGTGGCCATGCAGAAACCATAATCGCGCAGAGAGAAGCGAAGCCCGAGAGCCCATAACCAGAATCCCTTCCTGCTGTGCTTGTTTAGACGGGGACTGCTGATGTAATTCTTCATCGTCTCCTCACATGGAAGCGCCGAGAATGGTCGTCACCCATCAGCCTCTTTGGATAAAAACTTTTGAGTCAACATTTAAACAAAAACTAAAGTCACTTCACAGATGGATGCGCGCGAGCACACGCGTTCAGATGTTTACCCCCCGCTCGGCCGTGTTTTCTCGTCGGCTCTAGTTGAGCTATTATTACGAATGAAGTTGGGAATCCATCCTCAGCTTTTAGGGGTTAGTGTCGGTGTCAGATTACTGAATGTGGAGGAAAGAGTTCAACCGGAGGATGGACTCACACTCACGCGCTGTCGTGTGCCGCTCAGCACCACCAGGCGGAAGACGCGTGAAAGCGCGCGAGAGAATGATACTATGAAAATACTAACACACATTCAGCTGCAAACCCACTAATTAGTTTAACTAATCCATATCTTTTTAATAAAAAATACATATTTCATAAGAAAGATCAACAAATAATTGTGCAATATTTATCTCAGTTGTCTGTCTGTCTGTCTGTGTCTGTCTGTCTGTCTATCTATCTGTCTGTCTGTCTATCTATCTATCTATCTACAGTGTAAAAACAGCTGTGCTTTTGGAACCAGATTTCCAAGACATACTGTTGTTCTGAAACAAAGGGCAATAAGGATAACAGCAAATATAGAAACAATTTTAATGAAACAAATATTCAGCCAAGTTCATGACTGAGCGGTTTTTGACTATTTGAACTAGCAAAACTAAATCGGACTCTTTCAGCCATGTGAGTAAGTGTTAGAATGATAAAAGCAGTCTGCCTCACAATGGTTTCATTTATAGTGCAACACAATATCTTTTATTTCACTGAGGCATTCTAAATCAAATGAAATAATGTCTTTATTTAACCCACTGGGAATATAATCATGTCTGGTGTTTGCCAAATCGGAGCTGATCAAGGGAAAAAAATAGGCCTCCTTTTTATCTTCAAGCTGTGTTTGTTGTCGTCTCTCCATTTTGGATATATTTTCCTGAGGGTTTTGTAATTAAAGTAAAAGTAAAAAATTATAATAGTATGTCTCCTAATTTGTTCTCATTATTAGGATATTTATTTGCATACAGTACTGCTGATACTAGTGGCAAGAGAAATTTAGAGTCACTTCAGTGTAGATGACTATCTTTACTGATGCAATAGGGCATCAAATATATGTGCTGTGGGTATGTATTCGTTCATCATTTTGAAGGCCTTTTTGAGTTTGTTTTCTTTTTGAAGATAAAGTTGAAAATGAAAAAATAAAATTAAAAAAAAGATCAGTGGGGTTGTATCATTGATCTCAGACAGGCTGAAAAATAATATACACTACAGTTCTTTTTGTTTGTTTTGTTTTTCCTGAAAGAAATGTATAGTCTTATGAATGCTGTCCTTGAATGCTGATAATAATATTTCTTGAGCACCAAATCAGAATATTAGAATGATTTCTGAAGGATCGCATGACACTGAAGACTGGCTAATAGCTGAAAATGCAGAGTACGGGAGAACAGTCAGTGTAGGATATTCTTTTTTTATTACACCTCAAAGGGACAAATATTTTAAGACATTTTTGTTTGTAAATACACAAGCTACCTTTATAGACAATCATTAGCGAACTTAAACCAGATAAAATCATTTTTATACATATATTTTACAATGGTCACTGATCACTAACTAACTATAGGTGAAAGAGTATTGCTTTATGATGTATAGTACAGCTAATAATTACATGTGATGTAAAAGCAAAAATAAGTTATTTAAATATCAATTACATATACAGAATGTGCAACCTCAGTTAATCATTTCATATATGCAATTAAGACCCAGTTTTATAGCATTTAAGTTGAAATAATTAACTGGTCATGGTTAGTTCTGTAATGAATCAACAAGTGATTATAATTTTTTTTAACAGAGATTTGATATTTAAACAGCCCACCTCAACCATCAACATCTGCCCTGAAAACAAACTTCTTAAAAACTGTAAATGTGTCAATTTGTAATCTCATTTTCTCCACAATGGAATTAAAAAAGAACTTTCATTCTTTAATAAAGTGCATTTTTACAGTAACATTTCATGAAATATAGTTTCGATTTTAATCACATAAAAAGCCTTATTGTTATCAAAGCACTCAACTGAAAGCATCCATCCTGATACAAAGGAATCTATCGATTCTCTACTGCTTAAAACATTCATTAAATCCTTGAGCATTACGGTCTATAAATTGTGCTGGGTAAGATACAAAAGAATAAATGGCATGAGGGAGAAATACAATTCTGAAGCAAGCTTTCAAAAAGACACCGTTTCCTAAAACTGCAAGTCCTCGGGGAAACATGAGTGGTGTCTTTTCGTAACTGGAAAATCAAAAGATATGTAGAAGCAACTACATGTACTGAAAGGAGTTGAGTTTTCAACTCAGTCGCTCAATCAAAACCAGCCTGAGAGTGATTGTGGGAGAAACACGCTTCATTGTGCTTAATTCAGAGTGATGGAATGCTTTAAATCTGTGAGCAGTGAAGTGACGTAACTAACAGACTTCAGCTAATGTTGTATTTCACACTCAGTTTTCATTAAAGAGTGAGTCTGCCAGATGCTGTTTGTCTTTGGTGAGAGAATCACCAGATGTGTGCAAGAAAAAGTTGTCCACAACACTTTATTCTCCCTGAAACACACAAACGCATGCCATTTGCATTGTGTTCTGAATGACAAAATAAATAATGCTTCATGGATCTTTCTTCTCAATTTTGAACCCGTTTAACTCATGGGTAAAGCACCAGTCTGTATATGTGACTAGTGTCAGAACACTCCTCTAAGTTAGTCAGAGGAGTCAGTTTCGATTTGATTTACTTGTATTTTAAGGCTAAGACTGTGTGCTTTCAAGAGCGATTATGTCTTCAACACCCCAGTCAAAGTGCAAGGCAATCTGGGACAAAAGAAAAATAAAATAAAACAAAAATAAACACCTGTACACATTTCACTCTAGCAAGCATATTACAGCTGTGTGATGCAACATTTGCATCAGAGAGGAGTATGATAAGAGGTACACGATATGCAGGAGTATCATTTCAAGATAACAGGCAACATAAATTGATAGAGCTGTTACAGTAATACAATTTGATATGCCGCAACAGCCGAGTAAGTGATGCATGTTGAATATTGTGTTTAGAAGACTGGGAAGAATAAATATGCTGTGAATATCCAATGTTATATTAAGCAGATTATAAGGAGTGATGCTTAAATGTTACCTTGAAGAAACAAACAAATGAAACAGTTTGTACAAACATAGTACACATTTTCTAAAACCGTTTCCAACTATTGACCTGAAATCAAAATGTGCATTGCTCTGAATATCCCCATAAGGAAACATCATGCTTTTGGGAATGACTCACCCGACAGTACACATCTTTTCATATGCATACTGGATGCTTTGAGAGATAAAGTAATATTATATTAACGAACCTGCATGAAATGACATTGCTTTGGCCAGGTGACATACTCTTGATACTCAAGTGCTTCAATAAGCACAAAAAAATTTTTACTTTACAGTTTTTTTTCCTAAATAAATCTCACACTTCCTGAAAAAGGGATTCAGAACAGTCTTTAAAAGTCTGCTTGCTTTCGACAGGCAGATGTTTCAGGCCAAAACTAGATGCTTCTATGGAAACTTCTGTTGAAAGGCCTACAATAACAGTCCTTGGAAGTCAGATCAGTCATTTCTGAAATTGCCAAAAGGCTGAGATTATAAAACAGAAATGTGGGAGAAAATTCGGCAGCTGTTGTCCAGGTCTGTCCCTTCACCAGCAAAGTTTGATCCATTTAGTCAAGTTCATAACAGCCCGAGTTAGTATTATGACTGTCCTGAGCTGCTGGCTGTGACTAGCTGGGCTTCACTGAGAAGAATACGTATGTGATGGTCCTGCTTCAAGCCCGCTTCCCTCACTTTCGCCTCGTTTAAGGACGACACATGATCCAGCGTGTCAAAGCCTGCAGCCAATAGAGGGGCAGAATACATGGGCATTCCAATCGACACGAGCCAATCAGACACAGAGCTCACGTGAACAGGAGACACTGGCTTCCGACACATGTCAGTCAAGCCTCCCGAGGGAATCTGTGGAGAAAAGGAAAACACAAAGCGCTAAATGTCAGTGCTAATGTAGTAAATTATGATCTAATCTGACTCACATGCGTGTGCTAAATTAAATCACGGAATCTGCTAAAGTAACTCACAGCCATGCGGTGCTCCTTGCGGAGTTTTTTAACTCTGATCTGATCCAGACTGGACGCCACATCCTTCACTGGCTGCTGAAAGTCCTCCGAGTACCTCTGTACTAAGAGCTGAGGAATACCACACCGGCCATGCTGAAAAACGCAGAGAGAAAATTAAAGATTAGCCAGGAAAACAAGATCTAGTGAATTTCGCCACCTCGTTTAAGCAATTGGAAAACATCTCTAGCAACCTTAAAACCCTGCACGGGCCGACACACAAATTCATTCATCAAAATATTAAAAATATGAGGAGAATTTTCCTTGCTAATGCTGTATTGTTTCAAGCTAAGCCGTGATTAGCGCCCAGCTAATGTGAGCAGCACAAAATTCGTCTCAGACTGTGGACTCTGAATAAGAACAGAAATTATCAGATCATAAAGTTTATTTCATGTGGCTTTTTAACTGACTTTACGGTTGGTGGAGACCAAGCACTCTTGGAAACAGAGGTTGACTCACAAACAAGCAAACTTTATGTGCCAATTACAGCATTACAAGGCGAGCAAGACTAAATTGTTTGTTAAATGTGAGATTCAGTGCTCTAATGCTAACATCACCCTGTGTGGCGTAACTAAGATCCAGTTTAATCATTTTCAGCATGCCTTTGTTAGCACGCCAAATAGCCATCTTCTCTCAAATATACAATGTGGCTTCATTGCAAACCAAGCAGTATTTTATTGTAGCTAGCTCAATAAGGGCAATACACGTACAAAGCTTACACAAGCAGAGCAATGCTTTTTTGACAGTGCCACAGAGCCACAGTGTTTACACTCCTCAGGGAAATCAAACAATGAACAGCAAACAAGCTGCGAGAGGAAAAAGTATTTAATTTACATTACACACACATCAGCTTTAACTTACAAGCATCTCGTTCACTGAGAGATTAATTCAAAATCTACTCAAAGTCATTCAAACTATTTCTTACTCCCAATTTAGGGTACATCCGATAGGCTGTGGGTCCAGGCATAATAGGACTGGCTGCCAATAAAAAGCACTAAAACTCCAGGCAGTCTGAAACCACAAACTGTTTCAGTGTTTTCATTATAGGGAGTGGACATTTTTCACCTCTTATTCACCTTTTTTGTGTTGGATAATCTCAAAAGTGACTTTGAATCAGATTTGGTTTGATGATGAGCATGGACATTACATACCGAGGACACAAGAAGAAATACCAGATTCAAGATGCTCTCAAGCAAGTCTTCCAATCCTTCCACTTTCCCACTGCTTTTTAAGGATACAGGATATGTGATAGTTATGTCTGTGCTAAGCCGTGCATTTAGCAATTAAAAATAGACAAAGAAAAGAAGGTTGACTAATTGTACAGACTCCAACAGAGACCTACTGTGTAGATACTATAGGAATATCTTTTTATATGGAAATTGATGAGTGGAAATTAGTCTTTAGATGAGCACTGATTAAAATGTATGTTTCTTTCCATTTCTTTTGACACTTTCAAAAGAACTTCCAGCAGTAAATGGAAGGAAAAAATACACCAGCCATGACTTTCCAGGAACAGTGGCATGGTTGAGTCAAGCCCCCTACTGTTAATCATTGTGCTTCTGTTTAGTCTGCTAACCTTTTTATAACTGCTATAGTGCCGCCATTTTCCACACCGTTTTTACCATATGATGCAATTCATGCAAACTTGCGGTCACATGAACATTAAGTCCATTAGGCTATACTGAAGGGTTCCTCAAAGTTCTTCACTGCCCTGAAGAGTTTAGCTCCAACCACAATCAAAAACACATGAGAGCAAGCTAATCAAGGTCTTCAGAGTTACTAGAAAATTAGAGGAAGGTTTGCTTGATCAGACTTTGAGCTAAACTCTGCAGGGCAGTGGCTCTCTAGGGCCAGATTTGAGGAACTCTGCCATATGATGCAATTTTATGATTCCAAAAAGTTATCAAAGGAATTAATTTTTGTGAATGCTATGGACTCTACTACTACCCTACCTGAAAAATTGTGGTAGGCAACAGCATTACTACTAGATTCATCTGAAGTGAAATCATGACTTACTTTATCAGAGTACGGCTCTTCGGTGAGGTCAATGCCTTCCAAGCACATCCGGTCCTCCAGCAGAGTCTCCAGGTTGGTCATTTTGGCATGGGAGATCTTCCTGCTGAGGGTAACTTTAGCTCCGTGGATCTGAGGACATGCTGATTCAGGTAGGTCAGATAGCCAGGGTGGACTCAGAGCTGCTGGAGATTCACCTGGTGATAATGGCATTGATGGGGAGCTCTCGGAGGGAGTGGTTGGGGTGAATATGGGTTTTGGGGGTAGGGTTGGTGTATTTGGCACTGAACCGGACAGCACTAGTGAAGGGTGGCGCAGACGTTCTTTGGACTTTTTAGCAGGCACAGGAGGTGGGACGGGTGGCTTTTTAGGGTGAGTCCGAGGAGCAGGGCTAGTTGTGGCAGAAACTGGTTGGCCATGTGAGGTCTGAGTAGCAGGCAATGGACTGACTGTACTGAGAGGAAGCTGTGTGGGAACTGTAGGTCTCTGCAGTGAGCCCATCTCTCTTCCAGCCTTATTACTGATCTGGTCCAATTTTGATTCTACAGGATCGGCTTGTACTTCCTTTTTGTTGCCCTCTGGTCTGCCATTATCCTCACTCTCACTCTTCCTCTGATTGAAGGCCTGCTCCCAGTGTATATCCCCCAGAGAATGCGAGCGCTTCCAAGACTCAGGGGTCTCCTGGGGGCCATCTAACTGCTCACAGCTTCGGCTGACCAGTATGCGGGAGGTCTGTCCTGCTTTGGAGCCCTTCTTGAGGCCGAGGCTTCGCAGACTGAAGCCCTTTATGGGCCGGGGCAGAAAAGTCTTCAGGAACTTGCGTTCCTTCTTGGCCTGCTGCTGAAGAACTTCAGTGGAGTGAGTCATGGGAAGAGTGGGATAGTCTGGAGACTTTACACCCCCACAATCAAATCCAGATGAACCACGGCTGTGGCGCGACACCTTGCGGCTCTTACCTGAAACAGAGAGTCGTGCTTTCACATAAATTCATTAATCACATAAAATTCTTTCTTCAAAGGCTTCAGACTTGTTTTTTTTTGGTTACTCAGAATAACCCTTGATGTCATCAAATTGATGATCAGGAAGAGCTACTATTGTGGCAATTTGGTTTCACACATGAGAGTGCAGCTCTCCCACTTTCTCATTGATGCAAGAGCCAAGCAAATAATACACACTATTATTGGTGTGATTTATGCATCGTGTAAGTGGAAGAGCTACAATATTATATGTGAAACCAAACTACTAGTCTGAAACAATGTGATGAAAACTGTCAGGCAATAAAGTGCAAAAAACTGCACTTTTAGGTGTACAACAGCTTACCACTGGGCAGTAGTTCATTACATATTTCAATTAGATGTGTTCATTAGTTGTATTGAATTTTTAGGGATTATTTAAGAGTTAGTTTCGGGTTAAAGTTTGGGTGAGCGCTAAGTGTGAGTGTTAAGACATTAAGTGAAGAAAACCACAAATCCAGAAAAGATTTATTTTGAAAGCACCATTTTCTGCCAATTTTCCACATCAAAAGGTAATAAATAAAATGAAGCAAAAAGATGAGTATTTATATGCAGGGACCTTTAAGATAAATGTACAAAAAGATCATAAATTATAATGTCATGATTGAGAATCGAAGAATCTGGAAAAGAAAGCAAGGAGCATTCATGGATGCATTTTAAGTATTTTTTTTGGGACATCAGATCTACTTTAACAGAATCAATGACTCAAAAAACTCTAATGGTGACAAGGAAGCACATGCTTTAATATAAGATATAATAAGCTCTGTACTGCCACTCTCACAAGAAATAAATGGTTATCAGCACAGATAAAATAATATCAAGTGATGAAAACCGATGAAAAAAGCAAGCAGACCAGAATGCTAGAGATCACAGGATGGATTTATTTTTCCACTTTGGCAGATTGCACACATTTCTGATCCATCCTAAACAATCGTACTCCACACACACACACACACACACACACACACACTTACACAGACTTATACACTGTCATACACAACAGGAGGAGGGATCAGTCAGTGTTATAAGATGCCAGTAGGAGGTTAAGAAGACAACAGAAGAGTGAAAACCTTAAACATTGAATTTCTTTGGAAATACAGAATGAGATATGATACTTTCTCTTGGATAAAATCCTTTAAAATAGTAGATTAGCTCCTACTTTTACACAATCTACGCAGAATATCATCTTACAAATGTATGTGACTCATCAACTCCATTTTGTATTTATAAAGTCTTTTCTTTTTTAGGCACATAAGAATTTGTGCAATATGACAACAACAAACACCACACAAATATGGAGTGATATTTCTTGAAATGGACTTTAAATTGAGTCTGAAATGGGTCTGTGGTGGTTTTGCCATGGAGAACATTCTCAAAATCGTCACGTTTAAGTCCTGCTGTGAGCACAAGCCTTGTATTTGTTTCGCTGAGTTTCTGTCGGTCTCGCTTTAGATTTTTCTGAGGCAGCAGATGAATTTTGATCAGTTAGCAATAGCAAGAGTTGCTGCAGTTTTTGGATTTATGATTTCTAACAGAATGGAAGAAAGCAGAAGCAGGAGTCTGGGTAGGCTGGATAAGAAAGTTAAAAAAACGGAATGATGACAGAGTGCCTCTTGAAGCAGAGAAGCAGATAGAGAACAGGTCACAGCAGATGTGACAGACAGACAGGCTTGGGTTAAATCCAGATGTGATGACAGCTTCTCATTGGCTGTTAGGACAGAGTCATGGCAGAGAGAGGCGTGGACCAGAGGTGAGAGGATGGTGTCATGGGGTTGCTACATTAGGCTGGACATGGTGATGCGGTTGGTATGGAGATACTAGACAAGCGCCTGGTTACCATTCTCTAGGTTTTCATTGCTTTCGTAGCAACCAGAGTCCCGTGGGGAGTCGGCCATGAGGCCACGGCCCTCACAGAGGAGTTTCTCCTGAGAGCCAGAAAGGGCGCTGCACTCCGGATCACTGCTACCTAGAACACACACACACAAAGTTAGGAAATGTAAACACTTAAATATTCATTTATAAACAAGTGGAAAAAAGTGTAAAGTTGTTGGGGATGATCCCGAGTAATCTGAATAACTGCCATTGCTAATGAATGCTATTGCTAACTGATGGCTATTTCCATGTATTACAGACATTCGCCGTTTAGAACATTTAGTATATAGTGTATTTAGAAAATGTGTACACTTTTTCAGAAGTTTGGGTCAGAAAGTTTTTTTTTTTAAATTCAGCAAAGAAGCATTAAATTGATCGAAATAAGTAAATAATTATATAATGTTACAAAGATTTCTATTTCCAGTAAATGTTATTTTGAACTTTCCATTTATCAAATAATTCAGAAGAAAAATGTATTACGAATTCCCAAAAAATATCAAGTAGCACAAGTGTTTTTCACATTGATAATAAGAAATATTTCTTGATCAAATCAGCATATTAGAATGGTTTCTGAAGGATAATGTGACACTGAAAATTGAAAATTCAGCTTTGCATCACAGGAATAAATTACATTAAAACAGAAAAAAAGTTATGTTAAATTGTAATAAAATTTCATAATATTACTGTTTTTACTGTATTTTGAATCACATAAATGCAGCCTAAGTGATAATCTTTAAAAAATCCGACCGACACCAAACTTTTGAACATCAGTGTATGTGTGTACTTACTGTCGTAATCCTGCAGTAGTTCTACAGCAGTCATCAGTACGGCCCGGTGTTGGGGGTCTTTGATGTTGAGCTCATCCAGATCTTCTTCCTCTAGTAGCTTAAATGTATCCAGGTCGTCATACCCATTAAACAGGAACGTAGGCATGTGCTCCTAAAGTACACACACATACATTCACAGATTACACACCCTGTAGAGCAGCAGCACTATGTAGGCCCCCCTACAGCTAAAAAATACCCCACTCCACCCTCATCTTCATCTACGGCTGGATTTATGTGTGGGAATGTTTCCAGACTTCAAACTCTTTTGTGATGGCCAACTATCATTATATTCCATTAACACAATGAGGCTTAAAATGCATCCTTCGTGTCTATTGTGTGTAACCGTAAGGTCTGTAATGTGGTGTTATTTAGAGATGTAATAATGCAGGAGCTCGTGGGAGGTCTGAAGGGTGTGTATGTCTCTGTCTTTAAATAAAAATTTTAACTGGCATGGGGAAATGACCTCGTCCCACTTTCTCATAGCTAATCTGCTTTAACAAGAGCTGGCCATCTTTTCACACCAGCATCCACTTTTTCATTTTCTCATCTCTCCCCACCCTGCTCTTACATTCTGTCAGTAAAGATTAAAGATGAGCCACACACTCAGATTTATGATAGATGATTATAGACATTCAACAGTCAAATTTTAAAGCATGTACATATCTCAAGAAATGTCGCTGTGTGTGTGAATGGTCTCTGTCTCACCTTCAGGCTGATTCTCTCCAGAAGCTCCTCGACTGAGCTGGGTTTGGGCGGCCTGCCCTTCCTCCTCCTCCGAACCGCTCGTTTAGGCTTCTCCTCTTCTTCAGCCAGGACATCCACATAGATGAACTTAAACGTGCCCACCTTGTTATTGAGCAGACCCATCCATGTGCCCATGGGCGGCTTACTGATGATATCAATCACATCTCCTCTCTTGACAGAAAAAGAGAGAAATTGAATGAGATTCAAAGTTCTTATTAAATAAGAAAATTTTAAAAACACCCAGAAACTAATCTAAAACACATTTTCAAATTTGCTAAATGAATTCAAAAGAGCCATGTTAGTTTTAATGTCTCATATATTCTTTCTCACCTAATTAAAATGGTTTAAACTCAAATTAATATTTGCTAAGTAAACATATAAGTTGGACCATTTCATGTTTAATCACACTGGGTTGTTAAAATTTTGTTTAAAATAAAAGTAGTATTAAACACAAAGTCATTGTAAACAAATTTGATTAACAAATTCAGTACCTTAAGTTTGAGTGAGTCTGTATCATATGGACTCGGTGTGAAGTCAGTGTGAACTCTAGCTCTGCCGCAGAAAGGGCCTCTGTATGAAGGCTCTTCATCGTCACCGTCCTCACTCCTCACACTCTCTCTGTTGCTGGCTGATGAATCTGTGGTGCTCACAGTCTGTCCACCTGTGAGAGGATCAGCACAATCATTACAAAAGGACTGGTTTCTTTCAACAGGCAAAAATCATTAATCAGACTGCCAGAAAAAAACATCTACGTGATTTAAGGCACCATTAATGTCTGTAGCACAAACAATCAATGATTCAATGAAACTGAAGTAGTGACAGATCTTTTCTTACATATTGTGACATATAAAACAGAATGAAACAGATTAATGAAACAGGAAAAAAGTAGGACAGGGATTCATCTATTCATCACGTATTGATTGGATGGAATGGAGGCAGATCTTTATGCAAGCTTGCAGTCAATTGTAAGAAAGAGGGTTTTATGCAGACTAAATGCTTGGAGAAGTTCAGCATATGTCACCAGAGAGTAGTCTATAATTTCCACTGGAAGACTGATTTATGACATTTTGATAAAAAATTTAAAGGCTAAAATGAATGAAAAAAGAAGAAACGTATACATTGCTGAACTGTTCACATTGTTAAGATCAATAACATGCATATATTGTGAATTTCCATTTCATGCCGGCTTTAACACAGAGTTAGGATAAGACTAATATCACAAACAAGCACACACACACAAACATCACAAACACTTACTCATGGAGCTCTGCCCACTGAGGGAGCTGCGCAGACTCTCTACAGACCCTCCTGCCTTGAGTTTGGGCTTCTCTAGAGAGTCTGTGTCTGGCTGAGGAGACTGAGGACAACTGGGCATTCCATCTGTACTGGACTATTTAAAGAAAAAATTTGAGAATTGAAAGTGTATTATTATTTATAAACAAAAAAAAATATATAAAATGGACAGCATGTGATGCATATAATATAAAGGCCACAAAAAGGACACTCGCTTGCAGCACTGCTGTGAGATTCATCCTCTAGTGTAGCAAAGTAATTACACTAAGTTGCCACTAGGTCACACTCCAACATAATATATGATTACATTGAGCCAGACATGGTGGTGGCACATGAAGTTCTCTTTGCACAGATGAGCTCAACACTGACTAACACACATACATATCCAGAGATCTACATTAAACATGCTAAAGGAGATGAGACATGTCATACAGTATGTAAATTCCTGCCTCAATTGTAACTAAAACCTAGTGAGCTGCTTACAGAGACAGCATTTTAAGGCATCATTAGTGACAAACAGATTTTAACCAGCATGTGAACACAGGCAGTGAGTGTGTATTCTACACTGCCAGGGAATATGGGTGTGTTTAATTGGACTGAGCTTGTATCCATACTCTAGGCTATATAAAGAGATGTTTGACCCTAGTTTGAAACATAGAAAGTAGGGCACACATGTGCTTACTTCCCTCTAGAGTAAAGGCAGTGTCTCACCTCTGAACAAACCTGCTATATAGCACATAAAAAGCAAGCACACGGGCATCTGTGTGTACCTGTTCAGAGAGAGACCCAGCATATTTCTTGGACATGCGTTTCCTCATAGTCTCTTTGACAGACTTGACTTTCTTCCCTAGAGAGATACGGGACGTGGTGGGAGATTTCACAGCGTCCCTGTACAGAGCCTCCTGCTCCTTACGCCAGAGAGAGAGAGAGAGAGAGAGAGAGAGAGAGAGAGAGAGAGAGAGAGAGAGAGAGAGAAAGAGAGCGATTAAGCACACTGAAAGCCAATCCACAATTGGATCACAAACACTGCAGCTGCATATGAGAGCTGGAGTCAAGAGGAAGCGAGAGAAAGAACGCATGTATACTCACACTAGGCTCGGCTGTGTTGATCACATGGAGGGCACGATTAGTCAGGTCAAATCCTCCAAAGCTACACGTTCTCTGTGGAAAAAATACATAATTACTGTGAATTGACAAGCAAACGAATATATTTAGATTGAGTCATTTAAAACGATTCAAGAGTCTCAATGATTCATGCTGCTGTTTATAATGGAAACCACACATTTTAAAATGACGAGCTGCCAAAATAAATAGTTCATGGTATGACCTGATTTCCGGTTTAATTCAAAATAAATCTTTCAGCAGTTGTTTAGCATTATGTAAACAAACCAATGCTTTATTGTAAAACCTTGATGAATGAACTGAAAATTGGCACTGAAAAAATAATGAGAAATAAAAAACCAATGTGAACTGACTTAAGGCAACATCTTACATCACTCCAATACAAGTGATGTATTACATTTAAATGAACTGGGCTTTCATGTCATGACATTTTGTTGACAAGTTCTACAAAAGCAGCGGACATTCTGTTCAAATTAAACAGATATAGATCAAATGTAGTAGTATGAGAAGCTGTTGCTTGTTCCATGGAATAACATCATGCACTTTAAAAGAAAAAATCTCAATAAAAGAGAGTAGCTCATACCAAAAGAAATATAATAAAAAAATCATAAAATTTTAGCATTCATGCTGAGGCTGAAAGAGGCATTTCCAACCCAAAATGGATGAAAGAGTTCACTGATGAAGATCACGGTCATGTTCACATTCACTATGAATGACGATGAGGATCCGCAGACGGCAGACTCTACAAAGCTGCAGAAGGAACTCCATATTTATTTTCTTCTTCTACCATTCTTCATTGTCTGTCAAGGACTGCAAGTTTCAATTATGCTCTGACACACATGACTGACTACAAGAGAATAGGTCAAGAAATGAAAGGAGAGAAGCTCAGGATGGGGAAAGATAAGACTTGAGGTATTATCACATTCTGTTTATCTTTTACACTATTCTTAGATTATGAAATTTTGACATTTGAACTGATGGCTAACTGACAGTCTAAGGGATTTCTAGCTTTAATAATCACCCCAGAGATGGGTGAAGATTTTAGGGGAAAAAATGCATTTTATGACAGCACACAGTTTATATTTCAGTATCAGACTTTGTCTTGAAATATAACTCAAGCAGTTTGTCTCTAAATTGTACCCTACTGCAATTCTCTTCTGCAGCTTTGCAGCAGCCTGTTCCTCCAGTGCAGCAGGGGCACTGTAGATCTGCTCTTCCGGCACACTCACAGACTTCTGCTGGATGCGTAAGAGCACGCGCTTGGTGCAGCGATCCATGCTGGATGCCCACTTCCTGTTCACATCTCTTTCGTCTTCCAGGAGCCATCGCCTGTCTGCTTTGCTCAGCGTTACGGGCCTAACCAGCCCGGTCCAGTTGAAGTGGCCGTACAGGCTGCGTTCCACCACGTATGTGATGTTGAGCTCACTAACCGCCGTCCTTCCCTTCAGACGCCTCGGTGGAAACAGCCAGCTGCCCACCACTCCGCCCCCACAGCTCTTCCCCTTCTCCCTGGCCAATGGAAGCTCACGAGTGGGAGGGGAAGTGGGCAAGGTGGAGGAGGAAGCGATGGATTTTTGAGCATTGCAGGAACGCTGGTAGAGTAGGTGCTTGGTGGAGTATGCGTAGTTTGGGTCAGGCTTATTGCGCTGCCACATGGAGACGGGTGGCCGTTTGGTGTTGTTAATGTCATCTAAAGACACCAGAAGGGGGTGCGGCTTTGGGCGGAGTCTAGTGAGTCCGTAAAAAGCATAGACGCTGTCAGTACTTACCCCGTGTGATAAAGATGACAAGGCCTTCCGCATCTCTCCGTCTGTAGTCGAACGGGAGACTTTAGCATTGTCGTCTTCCAAACCCTCCAATTCGGAGAAAGAGGAGCCACTACCCCCCACTATACCCAGCCCGGATCCAGCACTACTCTTCCGCGGTGGGCGGATCAGGCCGTGGGGATGTGCGCCGGGGGTCTTCACTAACTTGTGAGAAGGTTTCCAGGCATCAAGGCTACTGGTGGAGGGCGAGGTGGTCAGACTGTCCGTGTCCCCATCCAGAGAGAGCTTCTCTTGGGCAAGAGAGGACAAAGAGGAGTCTGTGCACTGGGCCGGCTTCTTGTGGATTTCAGCATACAGTGCGTTTATGTCATCACATAAGGGAGCTGCATCCAGACTGAGCGAATCTGCAGAAAAAGGAAGATCACAACAAAAACTTCTCTAAACTGAAATATCTATTCAAAGCAATACTGTCTCATGAATTATTTAATAGCAGTGGAATAAGGTATGGATAAGAACTGATATCAAATAAAAAAAGATTAAATTAGAGATGCACAATATAAAAATTCTAGCCAATACTACAAAGCTGCTAACTAATTAAATGTTCTGGCTGATAACTGATATTAAAATTCTGTACTATTTTGTCTAAATACAATGCAAAAACATTTAATGTCATAAAATCATAAAAAAGATTTCATGTCAGTAAGATTCTTTTAATGTCAACGTTTACTAAGGCTGCATTTATTTGATAAAAAATACAATATTGTGAATTTTTTTAAAAATGTTTTGAGATTTGCTAAAAATTACATTTAACAGTGTTATTAAACTAAAATAAGTGTTACACTTCAATTTAAAAAATATATTCTAAAAACAAACTTGAGTTAATGCCATATGAACAATAGTCTTTTCCAGCTACCTTGTGAGCCATGTCTCTTGCTGTCATCCACTTTGATGAGCTTCTTGCGAACACGTCGAGTCGAGTTGACCAGCTTGTGAAGCCTCTTGAATTTCACAGAGTCCTCCTGCTCATCATCTGACTGCTCCACAGACTATAGAGAGAAAACTCAACTTCAGTATTATATCACTTCATATGAACATAAAATACATAAAATATCTTTCACATAGACATACAAAAAACAAAAAAACAAACAGAAAATTACGGCTTTATCTGGTATGAACAGATTATGACATGTTTAGGATGGGCTTTTGATATTAAGGACATGACGTATGCAGTATGGAGTTATGTGTTATGAAATTTTGAGTCCAGGAAAAACACTTAAGTCTTGTTTTTCAACATACCAGATGAGTATGAGTGAGCATTTGTGGTGGAATAAATAATTTTCTTAGTCCAAATGAATAATTCAGATAGGGACTATATTGTTGAGATGATTTATGATCACTCCCCCAAACAAACATCTAACATAACCTGACCTCGCAGTTAACACATCATTTATGATACTGAAACCTCTGATACACACAGACAAAACCTCTTTAATCCCTTCTCCCAAAACCCCAAACTTGCAAATTGCAATTTTTAAAAGAGTCATTCTACTCCAAAAACATTCTGTTCACTGCAAACATACACCACATTATGGGATGACATGCTATTTTTTTAACTAACAGGATATAATCGGTGCTAACCACAGAGTGTTTTTAAACCATCAGGAGCGACTGAGCTATTTTGACCAATTTCAATTATCTGCAATTATATCGGTGTATCCCAACACACCACACACTTAAGTGTTCCACTAAATCACTGAGATTGAATGTGATCTGTTACTGGAAATCTAAAGTTCAACCACATGCACACACAAAATCTCAATTGTTCACCATAGGCATTGAATAATCTTTCCTAATCAGTTAAGGCCACAATGGCCATCATTTAAAAAGAAGAAGAGTCACTGTGATGGCGGACGAGAAATACAGATGATGGACACACAATAACACGGCTCAAACAGCTCAAAGTGTATTCCGAGAAACAGAGCAGAAAAACTAATTTACATAATAATCAAAAGCACCCATATGAAGAAAATAACGTCTGGACAATCTTAAGACTTAAGGGCTGCTAAAAGCTCATTGCCAACAAGTTTACAAAAATCACATTTCAAACAAGAGTAAGGTATGAAAGAAAGAAAGAGAGAAATAGAACACAAAAACAAGAATCGGTGTAGTAATGTGTCCAGCTGTGCTCCTACCAGGAGTAGTTTCCTGTAGGTTAGATGTTAGCAGCCCATGCAAAAATCCCAATGCAACACCATTTCACGCCGAGATGAATACAAACTGTAAACAGTTTTTTGAAGGAAACACTGCGATATCTGGAGGCAGGGGAGGGACTGTGGCAAAAGGCATGAGCTTGTGTGTCCGGAAACATTGCGAGGTCTGCCATATGACCCCTGAACATCCTTAATGGTCTTCAGAGGAGAAAAGGAATGTGGGCCAGAGAGAAGAAAGGCTGGTCTGGTTGCAGTCCATTCATATAGAGATACAGTACATCCTCTGTGACAGTGGCTACTAACACTGATCCCAGAGCAGCTCACTCCGGTGGAGCCATGATGGGTCACATATTAAATGCAGCTGACACTGATCTCATGACAGGGGAACCCTGTGGACACACAGCAAGCTCTCAGTGTTCTGACTAATGTTAAACTGAGCTCAGATCAGTGGGATCCCCAGAGAGTTGTGCCCGTCGGTTTAACCATTAGCAGACTAGGGCTGACCCATTTCCATTTATAAATAGGAGATCATCAACCCAGGGGCCAAGATTCCTACAGAGATCCATTTTCTCATTCAGATGCTGAGATTCAATTTGCACATGCTGATGTGTGGCAGAGACAGGCAGGAGGAAATGTGTGTGTTTCAGAAACACCCTCCGGGGCTCAGAGATACAGGGTCTTTGTATGAATACGATTTGCTTACCTCATTTCCTCTCCTTTTGCTATAACGGGTAAAACAGTACAAAGGGAGAATCTCATGAACAAATGTCCGAGTCATATTTCACCCAAACAAAAGAATTACAAGAAATTATATTTTGCAGAATGAAAATAAAACCTTTTTAAGGACTCTTCAGAATTAAATTAAATCTTAATCAATGGATTGTGGAATATTTGAATTTCTAAAGAGTAAAAATGTATTGTAAAAAAATCTAAACATATAATGTGTATATATATATATATATATATATATATATATATATATATATAAACATATTTATATATATATAAATAAACAGTGTCACAGTGGTTTTGATTTTGGTGTTAAACATATCCAAGGACATTTCTTCACAGTTTTTGGAGAGCTTCACCCACAACAGCCGTATTTATCTTTCTCTTCAAATCCATTTTCAGAAATCAGTTAAAAAAGGTCTTCAATTTCCTCAAATTTAATCCTTTTGGACATAAAATGACATTGACTGCACACACAAACAACATAAAGATACACAGAAAGCGTTGCGGCAGGAACTGGCAGTGACTCCTCTCAGAGGACACAAGGCTTTGCTGGCCAGAGTGAGTCATTCTGTAGCTTTAAGCGTGGAGCGAAGCTGTGCTGTGGTTTGTTAACATCAAAAAGCATTGCAAAAACAGCTTAGCTGTTGACCATTAGAAAATGAGCTGTATGTTTACTTCCAGAGGGTGGAAGCTGCTCAAAGTTTCCATGATAACTATGTGTGTATTTGTGTATTGGCAGCTTATTTCTCCAAGAGGGCAAACTAAATCCACTGTTACCAAACCTTTCAAGGCTTTAACCAAGTACCCCTTCATGCAATGCTTGGGACGGCCCTGTGCACAGGCACATATACACGGTCTACACAAAGCATGCTCTTGTAATGGTAACTAGAGCCAGAGTAGTGTGACATATCAAACTGATTTCAAAGGCCAGGAGGCAGAAATGGCCACATATCACTCTTCAGTTAAGACTCACATTATGACCTCATCACCAGGGGATGTTTAGTGTGCCAACTCCTCATGCCAAGTAGAAATGACATCAACACTAGAGGTTTTACAGTGAGCTGCCAGTGCCAGATGCTCTTTACAGCTGAGGCATTACAACATTATCATCTCCATTCAAACACCCATGACATATAAGCTTTCAGATCACTGCTAGTATTGATTTAGAATTTATGGTGCACTCAGTAAATTACTCATTTAAAAAGTTTCACCTCAACAGAAATTAATAGTACTTAAAAAAATTCAATTATGTTCATATGCACATATGAAGACTCTAGTCATATCAGTAACCTAATAAAAGCCACGTTCAGATCACATGACCAGCCTAACAATACTCAGTTTGCAAATTTTTACAGTGAAATCAAAAACTGAAGCATGATACTCACACCACTATGTATCATGTAAATCCAAGACGATAAATACTGAGTGCACATTTAATGTATGGTACCTACAGAACATCCTAAGCTTTATGAGTCTTAAAGTTTTTAACAAATGAAAGTGTGTTCACAGTGGTTATAGCAGGGAAGGGGATGAACTGGGTTGATGTAAGAACTGCCACTGCCTGAGTTTATAAACCACAATGTCACTAGTGTGGTCTGCAGAGATTTAACTCCATAGGCACACACACACAAGACATCAATCAGTCAGTACAGTGAGAGACATTACTAACACTTACTGCAGGAGGAAAATAAACTTTGATGTGACTGAATGAGGTTATGTTGTAAACCTCCTATCAGGTCTACAGTCTGGGTGGTTTAGTATAGTACTTACATTGCAGACGGAGGAGAGGTTAACAGTGGGACTGGATCCTTCAGTCCACTCTGCTGTGTCTGTACTGCTGCTCAACTGTCTGTTCCTCTCATATTCCTTTAACTATGGAGAACAAGAGGTCAAAGAGAGCCGCCCCCTCGCCCTTACACTCAGACACCCTATTTATTACAGAAATAGAGTCAGAACACCCCATACAACCTTACATACACACACACACACACACACACACACAAAGCTTTCACCAGTCACCAGCTAAATACATTAAAAAGACACACAGGCACACACAGAAACGCCATGTCAATTTAAACAGTTTTTTATTTATTTATTAATTATCTGTATTTATATAAACTATCATTCAAAAGTTTGGGTTTCGGAATGTCAGAAAATGTTAGAATGATTTCTGAAGTATCATGTGACACTGAAAACTGGAGTAATGGCTGCTGAAAATTCAGCTTTGCCATAACAGGAATAAATTACATTTTAAAATATTTTTTAAATAAACAAATAGTTATTTTAAATTGTAATAATATTTCACAATATTACTGTTATTACTGTATTTTTGATCAAATAAATGAGCATAGGAGATAAGAAACTATATTACATTATATTATTTATCAAAAATATATTTTATTTATTCTATACTCATTTATAGAATACTTATATTCTATAATAATTTATTAGGTATTTGTTTTTTATTATTAAAATTAAAGTTTAAAAAGTTTTTAGGTTAAAAAGTTACTACCCACCCTTATGTCACTCTAATTTCCACTTTTTCCCACTGGAACAAAACGACAAAGCTGCTCTTTTTATACAATAAAAATGTATAATGATCATAGGTTGATCCTGGGTCCATTTTCATGCTACACTATGCTCCACTAGACTATCCTATCTTAAATAACAAAATAAAATAAATAAATGCATGACGCCTTTGGACACACAAAGAAACATAGCAAAAACCATAACAAAAAACACAGAACAAGTAAAGCAACATTAATAAAAAAAAATACATTTGCATTCAAACATAAACACAAGAGGACAGATACGTTCATGCATGCTTATAGCATGTATGATGTCAACTATCCACAAAGGCTTAGCATTGATTCAAATTTTAGATCCAGTCAATCAAGACTGCTCATTACAGAGGTAAATTAACTACCAGCCCAAAGGAGGAAAAATGAAGCAGAAGAGACTTTAAAGGATGTAGAAACCCCAGTTGGTTAAATGAATCAATGTCAGCCTTGTGGAGAGAAGGAAGCCACATTCTACAATCATCCATTAGGTTGATTATCAGATGATAATGAATCATCATCATGTACTCAAAAAACAATGACAGAGGAAAAAAAGAGACCTACAATCACCCAAATCACCTAAACAGTGAAAAAGGACATAAGAAATCTATCCAACCAATCCCAACTAACCCTACGTCAGAAATTAGACACCAAACACCCTCCTTCATCTCAACAAAACATGATTTGCACTAAGAAATCTACTGCAGCTCTCAGATGCAGGGTCAGTACGCATGCATTTAAATGTATGTGAGTGTGTGTATGTGCGTTTGGAGCAAAGAAGGAGCAGGAGGCATCAGTCCAGGTAAGTAAGGTTAGTACACATGAATGTAAGCTAGGAAAGCTCATTTGTTTTACTGTTCGGGGATAATAGGATGTGTTTACCCGTGCCAGCGCCTCCTCCACTGTGATCATCTTCTCTTTCACCATCATCATCAGCTGGATCCGTTCTTCATCACTCATAGTGATCTCACTGGCCACATAGCCAATGTCCTCTCCTGGAGGGTCAAGGGTCAAAGGTGAGCAACAAGAACAAGGGAAAGCCCCTTTATGCCAAGTCAGTCCATTCAGTGATCATCATATAGTCAAGATCATGTTTCAAAAACATATTTTGAAATCAGCAATAATATGACAACCGTGGTGCCATAAATTCATTTTTGCAAGCCAAAAAAAAACAAAAAAAAAACTGGTCTAGTTTTTCTCATTCTAGAGTAAACAATCAATATCAAAAATGCATTGGATATTTAAGTGAAAGATGGAACTACAGCCACAATATTTAGTGTTATTATTTCTTCCATTCTTATTTCTATGAGTGGGCCATATCTTCTCTCATATAGTGTCTCTGAACAATAAAAACAAGTGACCAAAGAGTTATAAAGGGAGGAAACATGAGAAAACAGATTGAGTTTGTTTTTATTACCTTTTGACGTTTGCCTTGTGACCCCTTTCTGTGACTTTCGAAAGTTCTGCCAGAAGGATTTGTTTTTCTTCTTGTTGTCCCATTTTCCTGTATGTGAAGAGAGGAGAAAGCCATCAGGGCCATCAAACTCATTAACTTTTGTACAAACATACACTCTGAAATACCTAAATTTAACACTTTACAAAAATAACTGACTCTACATCTATTATCTAACATCTACAAGTCTGCCCATCTAGTGTTTACAGTGAACCCTGTCAACAGAACATTCCAGTCTGGTATAACACCAAATAATTCCAATGTAATTTCCTCAAAACCACCAGAACATCATACTAGCTGAACAGTTTTCATAATGAAACACAAACCTGATCCATCTTCAGAGCTGGATTTGTGCAGAGGAATTCTGATGAAAAATATAGAAAATAATGGAATTAAGACATGTACAATAAAACGCTTCAACACCTCAGCACTGAACATTACATTTCTCATATACGGCCTTATCTCCTACTGGCAGACAGGTAGTATGTATGAATGAGTGGCGGCTGGATTTGTGTAAACCAAATGTAGAGAGAGATTTCTATGATTTGAGGCAGTAGAGGGCAGTGTGGTGCTGTTCACAGAGCATATGTCAGGCTCCTGAGGCTCACAGGGCACAGATGAGACGCTCTGGTGATGCAGCGAAACAAGATGAGGAAGACAGAAAGTGAGAGAAGGAGAAAAAGGGAACAAGAGCCACCGCAGGACAGACACTGCCTGTTTATATTTCCACTCATCTGAAGCACAGTGCCCTTGGAAAATACCAAAATAACACAAATCTAACACACCCCAGCACTCATTTACGGAGTCAAAGGATTAACAGTGCACTAAGAATCCACAGATTACATATTGATACTGACAAAACAAATGTGGCTACTCTAACACAGACACATCACCTTTGAAAGCTGTTTCTCTAAACCACTTTAAACAAACTCTTACATACTAATTTTCTAAATCAGTTAGTCGATGAGTTACCTGAGCAACTAATCGTGATGGACAAACATATTTGTTGGAATGTGTGTAGATGTCATGCTTTAAAGGGGCTAAACTCTGTCTGCACACCAATTAATGTATTGATGACATTTTATTACATTTACAAAATTGCATGTACACAGCCGTTCAACAATTTGGTGTCTTTGTCTCATACTCGGCAAGGCTGCATTTATTTGATCAAAAATAGAATAAAAACAGTAATATTGTGAAATAATACATTTTAAAATATGTTTTCTGCTTTAACATGTCAAAACGCACTTTTGTCCTGTGATGGCAAAGCTGAATTTTCAGCCACCATTGCTTCTGTCAGGAAATCATTCTAATATGCCTATTTGGCATTTGTATAATAATAAATAAACAATTAATATTATTATTAATGTTGAAAAGAGTTATGTTGCTTAACATTTTTGTGGAACTAGCGATACCTTTTTGTTTACTGGCCCAAAACATTTGAAAAGTAGTGTATGAGGGGAAAAAATGTTTGCAGTCAAAACCGTATTTAGCCTTTTTTTTAAAAAATTTTTTTAATACGGAACAACTGGACACCCCATCCTGACTTGAGAAAATATCCAGTGTTTACATTCCCATTTGTCATGTGACATGGATCATGTTGACTTTGTCAAACAGTCGGTTGTAAAATGCTGTGTGAAACTGGGCCATGTGTTAACTGCCAGTGAGAGGAAGCATCTGAACTGAGTCAACCTTCAACAAAACCCAAAATACAGAGGGAGACGAAAACTGCCTCAAATGTGTTTGTTGTACAGATGGGGACATAAACGCAAGTATGCAAGTGTATGTGTTGTGGTTTTCTTATTTGAAAATGGATTCTCATCCTTGGGTTAAGAAAACAATCTCAATCTAGTGTACACTAATGTAAACACTGACACAGGCATGTAAGCATACACTAACATACACTTTTGTGCACCTATGTGCTCCGGTCTGGTTTTCTCCACAGGAAGACAGTCACACTTGTGCTTAAATCATCATGGGTGCATGCGTGCGTGTATGCTTTTCATCTGCTGTCCATGTGTCCAAAATACATCTATGACATACTCACTGCTAAAGCTATCAGTATCTACACACACTCATGAGGACAGTGTGTGTGTGTTTAGTGTCAGGTTAGATGTTACATGTAATTACAAGGACTGTGAAAATGTGCTCGTGTTAAAAACGCAGATTCTTGCATATTTCAGGACATCCACTACACTCTGACCAAATAAAGACGTCAACTCTGCTCTTTTACTCAAGTGTGTGTTTGAGACACAAGGCATGATGGAGGCCTCCCTGAATTATCATATCATTATGCTGCCATGGCAACACAAACTTTCTCTGTTTAACCTCTCATTCTCCTCACACAGAATCCAAAGGGAGTCTCCTGTTTGTCTGCCAATTGCATCCCATGCTAAAAAGGCCCTATTGAAGAGCAGCTCAGTAAATTAGGCTCCACTCAGGATTTCTGCTATTGACAGTTGTATGTGTGCAAGCACAGTGTGACCAGCACACAATAAAAACGTGTTACAGTCTGTCAGTTTCTTTCTTTCATTTCACAGGGTGTCTTGTGTCTTTACTGGTGTATGTCTAGCAGAATATAAAGCCCTGCTAGTGGAATTCCTTCACTGCAAGTGACTGTCATGTCTACTATATCTGAAACAGAGGAATCCCTGGCTCGCTGAGATTGTTATTTGGAGAATGTGATGGAAGAACACTTCACACTGGAATATTTACTTTCTCCACAAGCTTCAACTGTGTCCTTCAATTTAGTATGTAGCATGTTTGGGATCGACAACTGTATTTACTAAGAGCTGCAACACAAATTGTTTGGGTTGAATAATGTCTTGTAACCTTAGTAACAGACAGTAACCACGTCTATGAGAATTACATTTTTAATTTTTTTGTCAATTTGAAAATTTTGGGAAGCATTGACGAGGCGTTCCCCATAGCGACCCCTAGAGGACGCAGTGTCTCGTTCCCTACTCAGGGAACCATGGTTACATAAGTAACCCGAGACGTTTTCAACCACTCAGATATGCAATTAAAAACTGATTCAACCCACTTTAGTGTTCTGACTACCTCTCCTACTACATAAACCTCTAAGTTTGACCAATTTTAATAACCTGAGAGAGAATAGCCTTAATATTGATAATTGGGCCTAACCCTAACCCATAACGTTTCAACGTTATAATTCGTGCAGCCCTAGCAAAGAATATCCCACTAAAGGTGCACTAAGCGATTTTTGAAAAACACTTTTGACCACAGTGTCGGACCGAGTCCCAAAACACACTTGCAGCCAATCAGCAGTAAGGGGCGTGTCTAATAATGATGGGGAGAAGAGAGCACTTAGTGAGTGCACAGGACGGATATTAGCAAATCGACTATAGATAACGAGATGGCAGATTTAAAAAAATAAAAAATAAAAAAAACAAATAGGAAGATTTCGGAGGAACAAAACATTAAAAAGAAGGGTTACAATCAGGCAAGAGGTAGGACCCGCGTAAATATTGGAACAGCTTCCAGCGGTGGAGAGAACTCAAGGAGCGGGAAGGGAATCGGATGCCAAGGTTGCTTTGTTTCTTCTTGATTGGTGAGTTACATTGATTTAGCTTTTTCACACAACTTTTCTGTGTTGGCTTTTGCTTGAATATGCTGCGGCCACAAGGCATAGCAGATTCTGCCATCGTCACTGCCAGGGTCGTGAACGTACGTGTGGGGCGGAGTTATCAAAATAGGGGCGAGGTCCTGTTGGGGTATGGGCGTGTTTGTTTTGGTGCTTTCAAATATCAACATGGTTGATATCAACATTGGCAAAAAACGCCTAGTGCACCTTTACGTGTGCTTGTTTAAATCATAGGTACATACCAATCAACCAAATTTGCTCCCAAAATTCAGTCTTGAGTCTTCAATGTTTAAAGGAGTCACTTTGTTTATGGAATATGGTTGTACATTTCCTTTACAAACTGAACAAAATGGTATGAACAAAAACATAATTAGCTTTTATTTAAAATCACAGACAACTGTGTTCTGTTTCTGTGAATGTAGCCAGCTTGCCTTATGTCTTATGTTATGCATATTATCAGAACTGGCCTTCCAAAGAGTGAGATCAGTCATATTACTATGCAAGCATGTCTTCACTATTGAATTAAGAGGAACATGATGTTGCTCTCATCAGTGACGTATCACTACAGTGATGTATGTTCACTGCTCTTTCAGAGCTGGGAGTGGGCTGACTTCCTCTAGTCAAACTGCTGATGAAGAGGAACACTTCTATCCCAGGGTGCACCTGGTGTCCTGTGATTGGTTGGTTTGCTTCCTTACACCTGGCTTTGGAGTTCAGAACACATATACGATTGAGCACAAAAACACATATACAAAGATCGCAAAGGAAGCATCCAGGAAATGACCTTGACTAGAGGTCATGGTAAATGGAGCTTGAGGGATTTCCTTAAAGTCACACACACTCAAACACATACATTTTCTCTATGTCCGGTTACATTTCTACCACCTATAATTCAGTAAAAAAGCAGGTTAAAAGCTACATAAATTCTTATTATTAATGTTGAATTTTTTTTATAACAGTGTTATTATATTATAGCTTAATATTTTTGTGGAAACAGTTATTTTTTTTTAGGATTCTTTGATTAATAGAAATTTCAAAATAACATAACATATTTGAAATAGAAACATTTTATAACATCACAAAGGTCTTTAGTGTCAATTTTTGATCAATTTAATGTGCCCTTGCAGAATAAAAGGATTCATTTCTTTAAAAACTTGAACTTTTGAACAGTAATGTGCATTTGGAGGAAGACTCTGCCAACATAAGAATGAAGGGGCTTCTAAACATACACACACACGTGCGCGCCTCTCTCACTGTCATCGGGTTCTCTGCTGTTCAGCATGAACAGCCTTTCTGGAAGCCAAGGCTTCTTCTAATCATACAGACAGGAAGTCGGGGTAATCTGGCAAAGACTGTTTTGTCCGGTATGGCACTATGCTGATAACGTTAAAAGACAATTCTAAAGAATAAGATATGAAACAGGGCTGCATAAAATCCTATTGCGATTATGACAAATATTGTAATTACGATTTGAACTGCGATATGACAAACATCTAGCATATTGCTTCTGCTTCGACGTCAAGGCAGAAAGAATAAAAGCTGCTCTCACAGAATACTTAAAGTCACAATGAAACAGAAGCAGCATCAGATCTTGGTTCTATGTATCGGTTGTTGACTGGATTTTAAAATGTGGGTGATGCTCTCAAAAGTGAAGGCAGGTGAAACTGAGCTTGCAGGAGTAGGTTTAAGCGGACTAAATGATCGTAGAAATCCTGTAAATGTCACCAGAGAGAAACCCGGTTTTCCCGGAAGGCCCAGTGTGCATGGCTGAATTGTTCACAAGAAAATCTATAATATGCATTTATAAAACAGATAGGATGAATTTTCATTTCATGCTGACTTTAAAGGGGCAGAGGCATTTGTATATTTTTATTCCTTAGTTACTTGTTCTATTTTTCTATTTTTTATTATCTGTGTTTTTGTTCTGTCACTGTCATTCTGTTACACTGTGGAGCTTCTGTCATGAAAACAAATTCCTCGTATATGTAAACATACCTGGCAATAAAAACTCATTCTGATTCATAAAAGACGACATTTTGGAAAAAAAAAAAAAAAAAAAAACTTATTTTTTTGGTCCATACATTTGAAGTCAGTGGGCTACAATGTTATTTAATTTTCACTGTTCTTATAGATATAAGATTATATCAGACCATTCAAACAAACAGATTAAAGAGTTAAATCAACTAGCTAATGTTATTAAATATAAATATTGACTGAAAATTTTAAAAATCGAAAAAAGTTGCTTTTGTCAATCAAAGCTAGTTTCACAGCCATCACAAAGCAGAATACCAGTCAAACCCAGCCACATGTGCACAGGACCGCAGAGACACATAAATGATGAAAGATGTGTCAGCTCCATGTGTTTTACATTTATCTAAGCATTCTACTTCTCACCAGAGAGTGTGGATGACAGCAGTAGAATTGAATCTTTCCCATGGCACGTGGACTGCTCATCCCCACAGGAGCAAACCATCAACATGGACAAGATGCATGGAGACACAACGCTGTTTGTGCACTGACATCATTCAAAGTCCTCATCTTCACAAAAACTCTAATATTCTGAAATTCACAACATGACTAATACATTTTAAATTAAGCAAACTGACCCTTTGACAATTACACAATTGTGTGGGCACAGATGATGTCATGTGTATCGTGTTAGGTTTATTTAAGCAATCATGCTAAATAAAGATCGTTCAGTCAGCTTGACTAACACCCTTGTGCACTATAAACTCACAGTCTCACTTAAGTCTGAGTTTCTTTCTTCCTCTCTCTAATCAGCGACTTTCATCTTAAACATCTAAGAACAATGGTCGGAAGGAAGGAAGTCTGGAAGCACCAAGATGTGAAGAAGTAAAACGAAGGAATTCACACCCGTTCATATACACACACGCACACACACTTACATTCAGGGGTAGATGGGGGATGGAGAGCAGACCTGATGTGTGTGATCATAATATCTGAGAGGTCAGCAGTCACATTCAAGTCAGAAAGCCTGCAAATTATCCTTTAGGTTTGGGTAAACCATTAAGCTTATGGTTTAGATATTAAAAACTATCCTGGGTCTGATTCATTAGTATTGTTTACCTTTGAAAAAGTGTTTCCATGCCTTTTGAGACAACCAGCTACTACACATTATTGAGTGCATTGAGATTTTCTTACTTTCTCTCAGTCTCTGGAGTGGACACCTCACTGCTGATGTCAAATGATTCCTGTGTACACAGACAACACTGTGGTTAATTACTGCAATCACACACTGATTTTAATCACTGATAATACACAAATCACTGTAATCTGAGCATGCAGTCAGCTGATTTATCACCGAGGCATTGTGAATGAAAGTGTGTTGTGTTGAAACAGTGAGTTATGATGATGACTGCAGGTGTGTGAATGTCTGAAAACAGATATGCACAGCATTGTGGGTCGACTGACCTGGATGTCTGAGCACAGCTGTGATGAGTTGAAGCTGGTGTCTGCTTTTTCCTGTGAAACACACATAAAGAGTGGGCTAGGAACAAGGACACACAAACACACACTGCCACTAATACAGGGCCACACACCCATATGCCAAGAGCTTGTTTTGTGATTAAGAATGCCACACCCTCTGCCCCCTGCGCACACATCACCTGAGGCTCACTGAACCTGCCTGTCCTGTGCAGTTGCTCAAGAGAGCAAAAAAAATTTAACATGTGGAATGAACTAAACTTCCTGGAAATACAACACATGAACTATCGTACGAGCCAACACTGTCAATCAACACCTTACCATATAAGCAACATAGACAAAATATAACACCAAAATAATGAGGACTGGAAAACATTGATATGCATCTTAATCAGGTTCACTGAAATCTTTTTGAGATATCTTTTGGTTACAATTATATTTGGTCTAAGTTTAAGAGTTTTTTCTACTTTATACATGCCAAAATAAATAAAATATTATAAAAACAATTTAAATTGTTCTCAGAATATGTAATCTTTAATGAGACATACAGTCATGGCCAAAAATATCGGCACCCTTGGTAAATATGATCAAAGAAGGATGTGAAAATTAATCTGCATTGTTAATCCTTCTGATCTTTTATTTAAAAAATTCACATAAATCTAACCTTTCATTGGATAATAAGAATTTAAAATGGGGGGGAAATATCATTATGAAATAAATGTTTTTCTGTAATACACATTGGCCACAATTAACGGCACCCTTTTATTCAATACTTTTTGAAACCTCCATTTGCCAGTTAAACAGCTCTACATTTTCTCCTATAATGCCTGATGAGGTTAGAGAGCACCTGACAAGAGATCAGAGGCAATTCCTTCATCTAGAATCTCTCCAGACCCTTCAGATTCCCAGCTCCATGATGGTGCTTCTCCTCTTCAGTTCACCACACTCATTTTCTATAGGGTTCAGGTCAGGGAACTGGAATGGCCATAGCATAAGCTTGGTTTTGTGCTCAGTTAACCATTTTTGTGTTGTTTTTGAGGTTTGTGTTTGGATTATTGTATGGTTGGAAGATCCAAACGTGGCCCATTATAAGATTTCTAACAGAGCCAGTCACTTATTTATTTTTCACTGTTGGTATTTGATAGAATCCATGATGCCATGTGTCTAAACAAGATGTCCAGGACCTCCAGCAGAAATATAGGCCCACAACATAAAGAATACAGCAGTATATTTCATTGTACACATGGGATACTTTTTATCCCCATGTGCACCAAACCCATCTTGAGTGTTTGCTGCTAAAAAGCAAATTTTTTTGTTTCATCTGACCATAGAAGCCAGTCCCATTTGAAGTTCCAGTCGTGTCTGACAACAGAATATGCTGGGGATTTTTTTTGGATGAGCTAGGAGAATTTTTCTTGAAACCCTACCAAACAACATGTGGTGGTGTAGGTGCTGTTTGACCATTTTTTTAAAAAAGGTTTTCTGACCCTGAGACTCAACTATTTTCTGCAATTCTCCAGCTGTGGTCCTTGAAGAGTCTTTAGCCACTCAAACTCTCCTCCTCACCGTGCATTAGGACGATATAGACACACATCCTCTTCCAGGCAGATTTGTAACATTTTATGTTGATTGGAAATTCTTAATTTTTGCCCTGATGGTGGAAATGGGAATTTTCACTGCTCTAGCTCTTTTCTTAAAGTCACTTCACTAATTTGTGAAGCTCAATTATCGTTTGCTGCACATCAGAAATATATTCTTTGGTTTTTCTCATTGTGATGGATGATTAAGGGAATTTGGCCTTTGTTTTCCCTCCTATTTATATTCCTGTGAAACAGGAAGCCATGGCTGGATAATTTCATGTTCATAATCACCCTGGAGTGCTCAAAATTGTGAATATGAATGGGAATATACTTCAGAGATATTTTACTCATAAGAATTTCTAGGGGTGCCAATAATTGTGTCCAACGTCTATTTGAGAAAAACATTTATTTTATAATGATATTTCCCCCCATTTTAAATTCTTATTATCCAATGAAATTTTTAAAATAAAAGATCAAAAGGACAATGCAGATTAATTTTCACAGCCTTCTTTGATCATATTTACCAATATTTTTGGCCATGACTGTACATTGTATCTTTGATGGAAAAAAAATGTTGTCAACTGTCTTAAGTTCAAATTCAAATATTTTTAGAGGAGTAATAAGCCTGTAAATCAAGAAGAACTCGCACTTCACAGGTAACCTCATTGTGTAGGAATCTTGCCACCCCAAGTTGTTTGTCTGCTATTTTACTGGCCGTGGTCTTGAAGCGACAGGTCTGGCAAGTGTCCTGGCAGAATAGCCTAGTTGGGCAGAGGTTGAGCTGGCTCTTTTAGAATTTTTTATTTTTATTTTTTTAGCAACCCTGAGGGATTGTATGTCTTATCAGCCACTCTTATCAACCACTCTTGTTTCCAGTACACACTCTGTATCACTGCTTGCTCATTCTCACTGCTCACTCACTTCTCAAAACTAAGACTTCTGCTCATGCAATGACCTCCACACATCTGCGTTTGTGTTAAAGTGAGCATCAACAGTTAAAAAAAAAAAAAAAAACTAATAGTCCCAGGTAGTGTTGTCAAAAGACCCGGTACTTCGGTACCAAGTCGGTACTAAAAAAAATTAAACGTTACGGTACCAGTTTTTTTTGAGTACCAGTGGTACCGAGTACCCGGTCAACCCGGTTCTTGATGCGCTATCTGAAGTGTGCGCAGATGCGTTCTCTTCAAAAAAGCACTGAGACATGGCGACCTCAAAAGGAGGAAATTTCAAACTAACAAAATAGAATATCAAACTAACAAAACACTTTAAAGACCGACACCTGGATCAAAAGAAAGAGTTCAAGCAGGTTTCATTTAATTTTTTATATTTAGATCTTCTGTTATGAATATTATTCCATATTTTAATTTGAATGTCGGATTGAAATAAACATTGCCATTATTAGCGTAGTTAATCGTTAGCATTAGAGCGGCTAACGCTAATACAATGAGCATTAGAATTAAGTTTCTTTATTAACTATTTAATGCTTTTATAACTTTCATTAGGGTAAAAAAAACAAGAGGACATGATATTTACACACAAGAGGCTTTTAAATGAATTGTGAATCTAAAATAGTATGCATGTTAGAGAATGTACAAATGGTTAACATTGTTTGTCACATCAGTCCATCAGAAAAGCAGTTCTGGGCTTTTTTTTTAGCTAACTTAGTAAGTTGTTATTCTTGGCTGAATAACTCTAGCAGGTTTTAGAAGCCTTTTAAAATTAAATATGCGCACAGTTTGGATTAAATGAAAGTACAGTCAAATTGTGTCTCCTGTATAGACTTTACAATAAGATATCATTCATTAAGATGACTTCGTGTAATTAACGAACATCAAATTACAGTGAGTGAACAATATATTTTTACAACAATGTTTTTGAATGTTAATACAAACATATAAACATTCGTGTTTGTTCATTGTGCATTAAATAATTTTAACAGATTGAACTTTTGATTTTATGTATTAGTAAATTTTGAAATTAACCCTAAGAAGAATAATTGCTATAACTATTGTTTATTGATAGGTCATGTTATCTAACAAATGGAATCTTATTGTAAAGTGTTTATAATACTACAGTTTCCATCTATTTGATATACACTTGACTTAAAATATATGTATCTTATCTAAATTTATTATAAAAGCTGAGGTTTGTTATTTACTGAAAAGTTATATTTTAGCTGTTGTCAATGATCTAATGTTGCATTTGGTCAGACTCAGCCCATTGCTTTACTTAAGTATATTAAATTTTCCTTTTACAGCTGCAGACTGAGGAAGATCATGAAACACACCAGCAAACCCTAAAACAGACAACATTTTACAGTTGTTTTTCGGCGGCAGCAGAAAGCATGTTTTTGTGTTTTGTTTTGGTACCGAATTTGGTACCGAGAACCGTGGATTTTCACTGGTAATGGTACCGAATACAGAAATGTTGGTACTGTGACAACTCTAGTCCCAGGGCATCTGTAAAATGCACTGTGTTGTGCAATTTGGAGAATCCTTATTTAGTAAACACTAAATTTGACAGAATAAATTAAATAAATATATAAAATATATATAAAAAAAATATATAATAATAAAACAAATAATAATAATAATAATATAAAATATGTAGTAGAAAGGGAGAATAAGCAAAGGCTGCTGATTATAGTTATTTAATATCATTATGACAGAATGTTGAAAGACATACACTATGTTTGCATGAAAAAGGCCCCCCAAAACAAAACACCAGGATCTGATCACACATGGCCCTTGGATGTATGTGGATGGTGGACAGCACAGTGCAGACCCTCAGTTATCACAGCAGTAATCTTCAAGCCTCTTTTCCTGCAAATGAAGCATTTTTCATCAGAGGGAAGCACTGTTTTTAGGCCAGGGTGGCTGTTTGTGTGTGTTTTGTCTCTGAGCCACTCCGTCCGTCTGCTTTAGCACTCAGTGGTGTTTTGGTAAAGTCCAGAAGCTAAGTAGTAAATTGGACATTGTGCTGCAAAAGTGGAGTCATCCAGGACAGAAAGATAATTTACTCACTCACTCGCTGTTACACACACACACACACACACACACACACACACACACACACACAAAGTGGGCAAGTTGAAGTTATTCCCATATGAACACACACTGGCCAAAGTAAACACACACACGGGTCTGTGTTTTGTATCATCAGCAGCAGGGCATCAACTGCCCCATACCCACTGGGCACATGCTCCCATTGGCACACACTGAATTATCTGTACACACTGCTGCTGGCCGTGTCATCCAAAACACACATCCACACAACACCACACACAAAGAGACGCTCTGTGCCCATGTATACCCACTGTCACAGACCCACAGACACACACTCACAACCTTCACAACAACTCGTGTTGGTCGTGTAAGTACATATATACACTAGACATAGACAGACACTGTACTTCTTGACATAGTTAAGTTCAATGTGTGTCAATATTTATACCACTAA